TTGTGGTCTAGTCATCAATTAGTATGGATCTGTTTTTTTGCTGGATTGGCTAATTTTGTTGTTGTTCTGAGTAAGTGAATCAATTAATTGCAGAGGGTGCAGGCTGCCATTATATCCCTTAGCATTTGTATATCTGATTTTTTAGGTCATATCTATATGTTTCCGTAAGCATATCATGATTTTAAATGTTTCCATTATCTGGGAAGTAAATAATTATTATTTGGTTTGTAGGAAAAGTTCGATATTGACTAAATGTTGGTTGCTTGTTCTACTATTATTGTGCAGGGCTGATATTTGGTCATTTGGTATAACAGCATTAGAGTTGGCTCATGGTCATGCGCCTTTTTCAAAATATCCTCCAATGAAGGTACTGTAAACTAGTTGGAAAAATTAGGAAGACTTGCACATGTTTGGTAACACCCGACATGATGTACATGTGATTGACAACATTTGACAATTTCCTTTCCTTCTTTTTAACAGGTTCTCCTGATGACCATACAAAATGCTCCACCTGGACTTGATTATGACCGTGATAAAAGGTTTTCTAAGGTACTGATTTCCTTTCTAAATGCAATTTCCCATCATAGTGACAAACCTGGAATTAATGTGTTCAATGTAACATGGTCTGGTAGTTTTTAGTATATTTTGCAATTTCTCGCATATCCATGTTCTAGTTACAACGTTCCTAGAAACAAGATATTCTAATTAGAGGATTTCCAGTTGTGATCAGTCTTTTAAAGAAATGGTTGCAATGTGCCTGGTGAAAGATCAAACAAAAAGGCCAACTGCGGAGAAATTATTGAAACACTCCTTTTTCAAGCATGCAAAGCCTCCAGAACTTTCCGTGAAGAAGTTATTTGCTGACCTGCCACCACTATGGAACCGTGTGAAAGCTCTTCAGGTTATTAGATATCATTCTATAATGCAGGCTTCTCATTTCCAATTGTTGTACTATGTGGGTTTTACGGATTTCTTGCATTGTATTACAGCTTAAAGATGCTGCACAACTTGCTCTGAAGAAAATGCCTTCAGCCGAACAAGAAGCCATATCACAGGTTAGAGTTGTTAAAACCCGTATCAATTTTTTCTATTGATTCTTATTTTAGTTATAAAGTTGTAAAAGCTCATAATCTAAGGATTAATTATACTTTGATGTTCTCACTCGTGCTGGTAATTTCTCTTCATATTTTTGTCAGAGTGAATACTGGCTTTTCTTCTTGATATATGGTTATATGAACTCGTCATCTGTCTATCAGTGTTTTTCTGCTTTAGTTTTGAAGCCTTAAAAGCTATAATTAAAGTATTAATTAGACTTTCATGTTCTCACGTTTGCTAGTATTTTCTTGTCACACTCTTGTCAGAGTGAATACCAGAGAGGAGTTAGTGCATGGAACTTTGACATTGAGGATTTGAAAGCCCAAGCGTCACTTGTAAGCAATATTTTGAATTGACGCTGAGCAAAATATTTCAATACAATGGGAGATTTTGAAATTTATTTTGCTTGGTAAATAGTTAATTATCCCATTTTCATGGACTTTATTGCAGGTTCGAGATGATGATGATATTGTAGAGACTAGGGAAGAAGAAGAGTTCATGAAATTAAATTCCAATTATCAGGTCTGTAACTTGTACTCAAGTACCTTAAACACTTCTATTAAAAAAAAGTACCTAAGACATTATATTAATTTTCCAAGTGCATTATAAGCATGTGGATTACTTGCGTTGCTTAAGTTGTGATTGTTCTTATTTCTTCTCAAATATTCTATCCTATAAGTAGGTTAGCTGATACTCTCCTTTCCTGGTTGGCAGGCTGAAAGCAATTCTCAGTCTAGTCTGTGTAAGATGAGTTTGAATAGTGAAACATCTCCAGTGGAACATAAAAGATTGTTAAGTAGTGATCAGGTTTCACACTCCCACTCTGTGGATAGAAAGGGCAAGGTTCTAGAGACTGAAATAGTAGATTCCCGCTGCCTAGAGAATGTTAGTTTGAAGAAAAATGGATCATGCACAGAGGTGATTTCATCAGCCTTGGAAAAGAATATGGTACAAGCTAAGGCTACTACGGTAAAAACTCGCCAGACTCAAAGTGGACCTCTCATGCCTGGTATTGTGCTGAATCATTCACATTCAGAAAGGAGTCGTATATCTGAAAGGTTTGTCATAGTTCACTTTTCTTTCGTGCTCAAGAGTGCTTTTTCTCTGATGAAATCCTCTATGGATGAATAGTGATGATGCAAGTTTTAGTTGTGAGTAATCCTAGCTCAATAATTCTGGGGTTAGTGGTTGTACCGCGCAGTGGTAGTTTTAATATTAAGCCATCCATATGAATGAGTTGTCAATAATGGAGAAACTATTTTGTGCAATGAGTAAGTACTGATGATATCCTTTTTAATTGTTTTCGAATAAAAAATTGAGGTGTATTAAAATGTATAGATACATTTTTGAGGAATCACTTGTGATAAAAAGAGATGCCACAATTGTATGGTTGCACAAAATAATTCATTGTCAGTAAAGTAATTATGCTTTATTAACAGAACTGTGTCATGAAGTTGTTAAGATCTAAATTAAGCATCTGTTCTTTACTAACGTATCGGGTTCTGTTATGATGGATTATGTTTTTATTCTGATTTCATGGAGAATGTTATGCTTTATTAAGAGAAATATGTCCAGAAGAGTATTTATTCCATAGGAACAGTAAGATAAAAACATTATCTGAAGTCAAAATTTACCCGTCTATATTGTGTTATAGGCATGAAGTTGTTGAGTTGTGCTTGTAAATTATCAGGTCTGAGAATGAAAACCAACCAGCAGCAGAGAAAGTCCGGAGAGCACCAAGCTTTAGTGGTCCATTGATGCTTCCAAACCGAGCTTCTGCAAACAGCTTATCAGCACCCATTAAGTCCTCTGGAGGTAGCAAACTTATCAAAAAGCACTGGGTATCAATTTCATTATATTCATGTCATTTTTCTTTTGAAGTGACTTTCTGTTTTTTCTTTCTTGTGATATTTCTCACAATAGGCAATGATAAGTGTCGTATCTTATTTTCTTGCTACGTTTTTTTCCTCCTAAACAGGATTTCGTGATTCTTTGGATGACAAGTCAAAGGCCAACCTCGTGCAGATTAAAGGCCGATTCTCAGTCACATCAGAAAATTTAGATCTTGTAAAGGTGAGGCTCAATTCTAGTGGTATGTTTTTCCTGTATTTGACTTTCACTAACTAAATAATGTTCCCTAGGATATTCCACTAGGTACAGTTCCTCGTCGATCTTCACAGGTGGGGTTTCAGTCTTTACTTAAGTAATTCCCTATTAACTATTTTAGCTGCCTACTCCTTGCTTGATGTTTTCTTCATCTAAATTTCAGGGATCGCCTCTGAGGAAGTCTGCTAGTGTCGGTGATTGGATATATGAAACTAAACCAATGGTTTGTGCTTCATTTCTTCCTCATTTTAAATTGCATTATTTATTCATTCGTTGGAGTAACCTTTGATTGTTTTATATGGATGTAATGTCCATTTGAAAGCTGGCACTGTTTTAAAAGCTGTTGCCATATTCCAGTAGAACTAGCAAGATCTCGTTAGAGATGAACATATGTTATTTATTCATTAGCACCAATGGTTATTGCCTGTATAGGAAAATGTGGA